GGGAAAAAGTAGTAGCTAGCGATGGGCAATACTTTCAATGATTCATTTGTAACCATTTTTTCACAGTCAAGTTGCATTTTCATCAAAATAACAGCGAGAACTTAGTTGCGCACCTAATAACATACTCAATATTGTACAATAATATTTCTTTTATTGACAAAATATGTATTATACGGAATTTTCTATAATTTTTATTATTATAACTTTTGCGTAATAAGTTTATGAGAAAAATCTATTATTAGATGGCATTAAAATTAATTATACGCATACAATTATTGTGGCTGCAAATATTATTAATAATTTACACGTTTATTATTTTACACTCCGCATATTTCCTCATATAATGAATTATTTGATGAGTTCGTCACAAGTGTACATTTTTTATGTAATAATACTCCAACTTATACAGTTTAAAAACAATGTTTAAGCGATTATTCATGAATAAGTGAACAATATTTCCTTTGATTGTCCATCGCTGTCAATAATTTTATCAATTAATGAATAAAATAAGTAAATAAAATATCGCGTAGGCGACCTTGAAGTTTATTGCATTAAACAGACAATCGCGTACAGAAAGTGCGTCATACTTTGTATGCCAGTTTTTCGCACATATTAGATTTCGTTGGCAATCTGCATTTGTGGCACAAATCTGCAGTTCTTAGATATTTATGTCAAGTAGTATTTATATCCTCAATATTCCTAAATCAAACGACGTCAAACAGATCTTACAAATAAATCGTTTCGTAATTATCATAAAACTTATTTTTATTTCTATTAAAATGTTAGTAATGACAATTTTAATTACGTAAGGTAAGGTAACCGGATCTATATGGCCTATAAGTACTGAATATATGACCTATCCAATGTTTGTAGGTAATTACACGGTGAACTCAATAGATAACACTAATAAGTCCGCAAGTTGTCCGTCTATCTTGATTACATTATAGATTACTGCTCAATTTGTTCATTTTGTTATTCTCAATAAAGCAAAATATAGAACATCGTGATCGTAATACTTCGTAGGTAAGTAATTGCTTTCTATATATAACTACTTACTAATGTCCGTTTCTACCGATGCAGTTTAACTTTAATCTCGGTTCAACTAACTCTTTATCTTTTTCTAGTTCTAAAAATAAAGACAACAAATCAATATCGGTAGATGTAAATACGTCTACCAACACTGATTTGTATTCACACAAAAAAGTTTTGTTCATTTAAATCATCCACGTATAATAATTTTTTACAATGTAAAATGTAATCACATTATATCATATCATATTAACTTAATGTAGTTCAATATAACAATTCAATATAACAATTGTACTAATTCAATGTAACTGCAATATAAAACAACCTATTAAACAACTATTTAATTCCGTATGTCTTATATAAATAATATGTCCGATCTGTTTTTAAAAAATATTGAACCGGTATAATTTATTATATAGCATCATTAAATTTTAGGTATTATCTTCACGTAAAACGATGTAGAACTACCTCACGTCCTGTACGCGATATCCCAATTGATGAGACCACCCCCAAGATTACTATAATTAATTTATTCACCTGGACGTTCACGTACCTTGGCGGGCAACATGTCGCTGTTTTCAATAGAGCACAACACGTACTAAACGCGTAGACAAAACTAGAATACAAAGGCAAAGATCGAATTATATACACGTTGCGTGGCGTGGCGTGCCGCGTGCGTTAACGTTGGCCAATCGTTGGAGTTTCCTTTCGATCGCGCCTGTTTTATTCCTCTGTCTATAGGATTTTATCGAACTGCGAAGATATCTGTGGGGCCCACCTTGGGGCACCTTAACCTTGGAGTACCGCAACCACCTCTCACATTTGGCGCACTGACTTCTATCCTGTGTACCAAGGATCGTGTTTCTCGAATGAGTACCTTCTTATCTTTGTACTGTGTTGTTCGCGGTTTTAACGATACTGATGACGCACGTCTTTGTCGAACGGCCACAAATGACAACGATGTCCTTTTAGATTGAGTTAATAAATAGGAAGGACGTAAAAATTACTGATAATAATGCGCTACAAGTATTGCTCGTAAGAATTGTCGTCAAAATCTTTTGCGAAAGATCGATGACGGTAGAAGGTGGTATAAATTATTAATATAATATAATGGTAACGAATAAGATAAATTGTAGATATTACTTCAAAATCATAAAAATATGCGAATAAATTAAATTGATTACTTAGACGCATTGTGACTTTGCCGCATTACGTGTAATTGTTCTAAGTTTCCCTCGTTAATGAATCGCTGCAGGATAAAAGCGTTAGTAGACACCAGCGTTATTATTAATATGTCGCTTATTAAGCTGCACGAAAAGATTATTATCGCACTCATACAAAAATAGATCAAGGGTATCCATTCTTTGAAAACAGTTAGTGATATTACGTAACAAGGTTAATAATCCAGCAGACTCATGAATCGCAGCGATTGTTATGATGATAAATATTACCGACAAGTGTTGCAGTTACAGAAGAGAAAGCGGTAAAAAAATATTAATTTAATGAAAATTATGCTTAATCATCAATAACTATTGTAATTATGTAAAGAAGTAATTGATAAGAAGCTCAATTAAAGGAGTCTTTAACGAGAGAAAACTGTTTTGTTGAATGAGTTCTTAAAGTACTGCCGTTCAAAGATTATAAAGTATTTAAATATAAATTATCATATCTTTATAATTAAAATTAATATTTTGTATATAGATCTAAAATTATTACAAAAAAGATTATTTTTTTCTCTACTTTCTTTCTATTCTGCCTTGTGTAAAATATTGCATATTATGATTAAATTACTTTAACAAAATTTGGCTCTCATTGGCTATTTTTATCTCTGACATAATCAAAACGAAATATTGTAACAATATTACACTATAATAAATTCGTTATTTATATAATGTAATATGATTATAAACGATATACTTCTCGTGAGAAAGATTTTAACGCTGAGATTAGCATAAATTATGTGTTATCGGTTAGACTAAAAAAGAGAGCGATTATTGCTAGCGTATTGTAAATCTGTGAGCAAGTAAGAAATTTCAACTCTCAATAAGACTTTTTGTTGTCACAACGGGAGATATAATTTCTCTGGTAATTCGCACCATGATACAAATAGTCACACAACAGTTGCGCTGATGAAAAGAATGGATATTATTTCGAGTGGAGCGTTATGCAATCTTTCTTTTATTTAACAAAAATATTCTAGGCTATATACAACAACGTAATTAGACTTCGGAAGAAACTATTGCAACACCCTTGATTGAATCACGTCTAATCATCCGCATCTAAATGCGCTTTCTCTAAAACGAAAATTAATTAACTAAAAAATGCTATGATAACTACTGCAAACATTAAAAATATCGTGAGTATTAAAATAAATTCAAGTGCAAGTGTTTGAAGTTATTATCTTTACGTCATCCACGAGTAAAACACAATAGTCTTAATAATATCATAACATTATGATCTTATCAACATTATGTCATTATAAGTTTATTTTTAGGTGACAAATGACTTCATGATGACATCCTATGATATCATCATGATTTAATTATGACTCTGTGTTCTACCTCGTTCGCTTTTATTAATGTTTCAAGATGCCTTCTTAAGATTTCTATCTATTCACTACTATCTCAGGTTATAACGTCAGAAGCGAAAAAACACAATAAAAATACTTGCAAATTATATTTGAACAGAAATATTTTTCAATAAAACATTATTTGCAATCAATAAAACAGATTTAGAAAATATATCGAAAACTATCTTCTTGTTTTGGAGAGAAATTAAGTCATATTTGTTTCTATATATTCAATACAGCAGTTTGTCATAGACATAGAACATAACGCATTTCATTTTTGGTTATGCATAATTCATTTCCAGATATATGATTATTCATTAATTAACGAAACAAACGGAGAGAGTTCGATATATTTTATAAGTCAATTCTATCGATTGTAAGTGTTGTTTTATTGAAATATGTTTCCATATTAATATATTTTGCAAGAATTTTTATTGTATATTTTCTTGTTCTTGACATCACAATTTGAGATAGTAGTACTGAGTGAACAGGAAACATAATCAGCAGACACAAATCAATTTTTTATAATATTCTCATGACAAGTTTTCGATTTTTTATGAATGAATTTTTTATGAATTACGTGATGGAATTTACTTATACATTACTATCAATTACGAAATAAAAAGAAAGCTAAAATAAATTTAAAGATCCAAAATAAATTTTTTATAATTATCTAAAACGGTTTTAAAATTAATCTCGCATATCAATTTATGTAGAAATAAGAAATGTTTTAATTAAACGTAAAATACGTTGACTCTAATTATTTACGCTCTACGTAATAATACATTCTGTGTTCCGGATCCTTTATGAATTTGGTTTGTAGTAAGGGTTTCTGTTTTTGTTCTTCATCTTCTTTTTCTTCTTTGTCGTCATTTTGAGTTTTCCAGTTTTCGGTTATTCTATTCGATTCACTCTTAGTTTTTTCATTGGCTCGATCTCTTTTGCGACTTGGTTGAATGTTCTGCATTAGATTATATATTGGGTAGATCTGAAAACACAAACTTTCATGAATGAACCATGAATGAGTCATATTGAGAGCATAATTATATCAATACATACTCCTACAGTTAGTTTTAATTTAAGTCATTACATACTTAATTTATAGGAACATTATAATTTATAATATTACTTCATGCATAAAACATCTTTGGCGATTGATGCTTACATTAAACATTTTTACATTACATCTATTATCTGAACAACTTGATTTAACGTTTTCATTTTAAATTACAATTTCTAAAGGTTTAATATACTTTACTTTGTAATGCTATTCCCGCTAGTTTATTCTCAATTTTAAATTTATTACATATACAAAAAACAGTTTTGCAAGAAATATCTAAAGTTTAGTTAAATTCAGATCCGAAAATAATTTTGTTGAACTATCAAAATAATTATACACGTTTAAACTAAAAACTTTTACCTTTTTTATATTATTATTAATCTGAATGCTTCTTATAGTACTTTTTGCACTAATTTCAAATTTTTGTTTGCTAAATTTACGAGAAAAACAGAATTTTTGAATATTACGCACTTAAAAATCCTTTACTTATCTTTTTCTATTAGATATAAATAAATGGTTCATAGAGAATAGCTATTGAATTTAACATCAACTCATTAGACAAGACATATATAAAGAATAAATTATTTTAATTAAGATAAAAATACTGTTCAACAAATTGTTGTTAACAAAATGCATAAGTTTTTTAAAAGAGATATCGGTTATAAAAAATTAGAGCTCGTAAAATAAATTCTGACCTCATTTTTAGAATCAGAGTACAAAAATCAGTCAAAATTACTTAATTAACAAAATCATTGTCGAAAATTACTTTTAGATCTGTATCTATCTAAATTTTTAAATATTTCAGCAAAATCAATCTTTCCGTCTACTACAAGCATATTTTGCCCGAAAGAACAAAGAAGGAGAAAATGAAATTCATGCCTTAGTAATCGTAATTCTTTGACATCCAAGACATAAAAGACATTGTGTGTCTCGCACCATATTCGGTCAGCTGAACCGTCCCGTGCTGCGGTGACAAACTTACTTCTGACGATATCCTAGAGTCACCGTTGTCATTCTCGTCGTTAACAATCCCATCGTAAGCCCCGAAATCATTTATCTTCTTAACTTCCTCCTTCTTCATTCCAAAACGTTCAAGAACGTTATCTTTACTTTTTTCTTGAGACTTATCTAATATCACCGATTTTTTAATTTCATCTTCATTTACAGACTTAACTTTATAATCTTTTTTCTTATCTTCCTGTTTTATTAATTCTCTTCTATTATCTGAATCTTCATTATTACCATTCTGTTTATTATCACTCTTTTTGCGTCTCGATTTGATTCTCAACCTCACCGGCTTTTTTTGACCGGACGTTACATTCGTCTTTATAGAATCGAATTCATTTTTTGTTTCTGGATAAGTGGTCTTCGTAACGATCTTTTCCTTTGAGACTCTAGACAGATGCTCGATCGTCCGTGTTTTTGGAGTCGAAGTCTCTACCTGAAAATCATCGGTCTTGATTGTTTCTGGCGTAGCAATTGTTTTAGCAGCTGTCTTTTTAGAAAAATCCGATCTATTTGTCTTCTCTTTCTTTGAATATTTTCTTTGAATGAGTGGAAAAGCTGACTTTTTCGTGCCAAAATCGATACTTGCTGAAGGCGTAGCTGACGTTGTTGTTGAAGCCACAGGTTTCCTGCGCCTTTTATTGATGGACTTAGTAACAGATTCAGCAGTTGCATTATCGGGAGAAATCGTAGAATTGTTCTTCAATATTCTTCGTCGACGTTTCTTCTGTTCTCCAGTTGCGGAAAGAACTTCCTTCGTTCCATTAGATAATTTACTCGGCTGGCTGGTTGTTATTTCTGTCGACGATTCTGCTTCATCTGAATTACTTCTGTTTAATTTCAGATATTCCACGGGCTGTTCTTTTTCTTCATTAATAACGTCTTCGTTCCTCAGTTTTCTCGAATCAAAGCGCGAATTATTTGACACGTTCTTGTCAACTTGAGAGAGTCTTCTTCTTGCATTCTTTCTTCTCGGCGGCTGCGTGATGTCTTCGGGCACAAGCGTTCCTCTAGAGATCCCTCTATCTGAGGGAGATGATAAATTTCGCGCGAACGAAGGGGAATTTTCGACCTCCTTCGAAGTTTTTTCTTCAGATTCATCATCTTCTTCTAGAATTTTTTTTATGGATCTGCTGATTTCGTGCGCACTAGAAAAATTCGACGGTGCATCACTGGAACTGTATCTACTGCTGTATTTCATAAACGGTATATGCTCGGTATTGGATTCTTCGTTGTCTATATATCTGCGCGAAATATCGCGTCTAGTATTCATGTTGCGATTTTTGGTAGGAACGTTATACTTCTCCCAAGGATAAATAGGTCCTTCCCAAGGATAAATTGGTCTTTCCAGTCTCGTGGATTCTTCTTCGTTCTCATCGTCGAAAAATCTTGCCCTGGCTAGCTTCTGTTTCTTTCGTTCCTTCGCTAGTCTGTCTCTCCTTTCCCAAGGATATTCGTATCTGTCGGCATTTTGCAGCCATTTGTATTTTTCTCCTTTAATTTTTTTGTCAGCTTGCCAAGGAAACACGTAATCTTCGCTCTCATCCTCGCTCTCCTCTTCAGGATCGTTCTCTTCGCTTTCTTTTTTAATTTTTGACTTGTACCTTGAAAATGGAAAAGGTTTGTAGGTCGTCTTCTCGGAGAGTTCGTCGTCCTTATCGCTTTTAATTAATGGTTTTCTTGTATATGTAAAGAATGTCTGATCCTTATTTGAACCTTCCTCTTCCTTCGACGAAAGTTCCTCGTAATCGTCATCTTCTTTGAATAATTCCGTCTTCACCGGCGTTTCGACTTGTTCCTCAATTTTCTCAGAAGATTCATTATCATCATTCGTCACATTTTCGGGATAATCAGTTTCTTCTTCCTGCTTTTCTTCGCTGTCCTCAGATTGGTTCGTGTTTGCATTATACTTGCTTGGTGTTGTCACTTCCTTGGGAAATATTTCCGCGTATCCTGGTGGATCAGACTTCAAGTACTCTCGTAAATCCAAGACTTCTTTCGAACTCTGAGGATCCGTCGTGGTCGTGGAAATATCTTCATCGACATTCTCGCGAACCTGATATGTATTAGTCGTACTTTCCGTCTCGTCTTCCTTGAAGAAGCTTCCTTCATATTCCGTGTTGATGTTCTTAACCTTTCCTGATTCTGGATATTCGTCCTTCTTACGATAGATTTTTTGTTGCATAGCGGATTCTTCTGCGTAATAAGCTTCAGTTGTGCTACTTTCTCTACCTTCTATTAATGATGTTGCACTTTCGATCTTTGAAGTGTTCTCTGTTGAATTGATTATCGCATAATTGTTCTGCTGATCATTGAATGGCTTCTTCTTCCTTTCGACATGATTATACCGAGGCTCCTTTCGCCTGCCGTCTTCATCTACTATCTTCGAGCTCGTGGTAAACTTTCCGAATCCTCTCGTGTCCCACTTGGGCTTCGAAAATCTAATCCGATCTTTGATCGTGTATACGGTTTTCCGAGGTTCGCTTCTAAGGTCACTGCTCGTGGAGTTTCTTCGTTTCTTATCATCAATCTTCAGAGTTGTAAACAAACTTTGATCCAGCGTGCTAATTGGCCTACTCTCCTCAATCTTCAAGTCCAATGGTTCGGATGTCGCATTTGTTTTGCTTATCGTTTCTTCTATCAATTTTACAGATGTATCATTTCCAACATCATCGACTTCTATAGATCCATTAACTGTAGTATTTTTATTCTTGTTAATGACACTGGTAGAGAAATTCTTTGCCTTTACTGTAGCTTTTTTATTCTCATTAATTGTACTTTCAGAGGAATTCTTCGCAGTATTGTTTGTATCGTTTGTCGTGCTGCGCTTATTTATCTTGATGGTACGATGAGTGATGAAGGGAGGTCGAGGAAGGGTCGTAGTTCTTATTAAAGATATTCTGTTCTTAGCCAATGGTCTATGCTTTCTGTAATTTTGTCGTTGAATAAAATGCTTCGGAGGAGGTATCAGTCCTTTGATCTCCGGTGATTTAATGTTGTTTATAACGTCAATGACGTCAGAAACGTCTGGCTTCGACGTACTTTTTTCCTTCGAAGATTTCGATGTGTTGTCCGCCACTTTCAACACGGTTTCGCTGCCCGCAGTCTCTAGGATAGACGGCGGCAAGGTCGTCATCTCGTAGACCTGATAAGCGTTTTTTAAATTCCTGATGTTACCCATCACATCTTCATACACCTGATTCTGATAGGAAACGGTTTGGTACAACGTTGACGGTGTCGTGGTGAAGATCTTCGGTCGAGGTTTTCGATTTTTCATTCTAAGCATCGTACTGGAAGGCGGCCTCATGCCGCGTACGGTGTGAAAATACGCGTTTCTTCCTCTTCCGGTTTGCGGATCGTGCTTGTAATTTACGCGGATTGATTCAAGGGTCTCATACGGGTAGTTTCTGTTTCGCCACTGGCGACCGCTGCGCTCCGGTTTCTTTGAAACCTGAGGAACGACGTATTCATCGTTCTGCTCGGGAAGTATCATAATTTTTGAAGCAAATTTTGTAGGATTTAATTCCGACGGCGGAGTCGGCTCTTCAATTAATTTCTCGGTGAACAACGGATTGTCGAGGGGATTCTCGTCAAAATATTTGGCCTTAAAACAATCCAGTTTGTTTCCGAGACCACGAAGACGCGGTAGATCTTTCTGCGGACCTCGTTTAGGATCGGGCTCCTCTTTCTCGGGTAACACTTTTTCAAGATTAGGCTCCACCTCGTCGCACTGCTTATAAGCGTTTCGAGAATCGTAGAACTCCATGCCGCGCGAAGTCTTCCGTGGTACTGTCCTAGGATCAACGGCGTACTTTAACGCGGATGCGCTGGGTACATTTTCATTGTTGTAAAATGGATACTTCTTCGAATCTGTGACAGCTTCCATCGTTGTAGAAGGTTTTACAAGATCGTCTTCTGCGAATTCTCCGACGTAAGGGAAGCTGGGAACTTCAATTTCGATTTTCCCATTTGTTTTCAATGAAGTCTCGTTACTCTTCTCATTAAAACGAGCGGCAATCTCTTTATCGATAACATCGCCGCTAATTTTAGGTGACTCGTTCAATAGCTGTTCAGAGTCTTTTTCGTCTGCTTTGTTCTTTAAGTTTCTTGTCAAATATGTTTGACTTCCAACGCCTGTTCTTTTCTTTGCCAATTCTATAACATCATTCGTTTGTTCATTTTGCTTTGCTGATTGGATCAAAATTGGTTGAGCGACAGTGTTATTTTTGTTGCTGGATGTTCCGCTCTCGTCTGCTCTTAATCTCGCGAAGAATGTTAATTTCATAGCATCTGGAACAGCGATCGGTGCATGAATTGCTTTCCGACTCGACTTTCTTTTTAATCTATCAATTGCCCTATCAAATGAACTTTTATCTTGCTGCGACGATTTATAGTCATTGGTCATACCATTGTTTGCTGCTGCTTTCACATTAACATCCGCGGCGTTGCGAAATTCACCTTCGTTGGATCTTTTTCTTCGCAATCGCGTTCTCCAGTTTACTTCGGGATTCAAAAGGAAAAATTTAAATGCGTTATCACGCTGTTGCGGTTTGCTACCGGGATAAAAATAATGGTTGTCGTTCTGCTTACTGCTATGGTAATTGGCGTAAGCATTTGCGAACGGCAGCGGTGGCGGTGGTAATAATTTTGTGGTCGGAAGTAAATTTTTGCGATAGATTGAGGATACCGACTGAACGTAGTCGAAGGGATCGAAACGAAACGGCAATTTAATAGGTTGGGAACGATGTTGATTTTGCAATTTCCTCCAGTTAGTCTCCCGAGACGATTCACTTTCAGTAGATACGCTCGAACGATTTGCTGTTGAAGGATGATCCGTCGAAAGGATTGAATATGCGGCTCGTTGAATCGGCAGCCTCCTCGGGATGGAATCTTTTAAAAAGACAACCTTCTTTTCCTTCGGAAAAGAATGCGTTTCTTGTTTGTTTTTAATGTAACTCAGCGTCTTGTTGTACTTCATATTCAACTCGTCACGAATCCTCTTGTACTCGTTTTCTTCTTTGAAGGACGATGGAACTTGTTGATGGGATGATTGACTGGCGGATTTAATGGGAGATGATGTCGGAACTTGTTTGGATGATTGAATGACGGATTTAACGGGTTTCTTCTGATAAGACGGTTTTGCTCTC